GGTTTGTTTTCAAACCATTACACACACACAGCAGGGAAGGATCAGACAGCGTTTAACTCAGGCACACATCTCACTTCCCAGGGATGAGTTCTGCTAGCCAGGAAGGGACAAGGCACACGAGAGCAAGAAGATTACACAGGGGTAAGGCAGATGGGAAAAAAGTACACATTCCACTCTGTCTTCCTGCTTTTATGGCCTCCCCCTCAAAGTCTGTGGGTTTTAGTCACTCAAATTCTTATTTTGGTGTTGGTATCATTAATTAATATGGAGATCTGTCATTTCCGACAGAACACACACTCACAAGTAACAGTAACAAACAACAGCTGAAGTCCTGACCCTAAAACAGCTTCAAGGTTTTACTACTAGAAAAAAAAGAAACAGAAAAGTCTCCTGGCATTACTGTAGCATGACGATTTTCTCTTACCTCTTCAGTGCCCAGGTTTTAAGGACAGGGTTGTTGTTTGTCAGTTTTTTGGTTTTTTTGGATTTGTTTTTGATTTTCTAACTGATTCCTATGAGCCACTCTAAAATACTTCCAATTCAGATCTTACTGGAAAACTACTAAAAGGAGTCACTTGAGCACCTTAAAAATAGAACATTCACTTTTATGAATAATTTGATGAATATTCAGAGTTATAGGACAGACTACTATATAACTGAAAGAACAGAACTCATAAGAAAAAAAATAAATCAACACCATGCAGATTTGCCTCCTTCAGAAGGATAAACTTACACTTGGAATTCTTCATAGGACACCCCACTAGAGCTGCTGCCCCTCCTCCTAGAACTGTGTCCACTGTCTTCATCCTCATCCTCCTCAGAGTCGTCCAAGCTCCGGGGGAAACTGCGGCTGCTCAGAGGACGTGGCAGCGAGCTCCTGTCCAGGTCCAGATCCTCCTTTGTGAGAACACAGCCCCAGACAGAGAAGATGTGAAGACAGGTAAAATGTACAGAAGATGTCAAAGACCTCCTGCCCTCCATCAGCTCTCCCCTGCCTTTTTTCAGTCCTACTCAGACAGCCATGGATGAGAGCAAACGTGAAGGAAATCAAGAGGATTATTCTGGGAGCAAACCAACATGGGAAGAAGACTAGCAGTGGTGCTGGTGGCACACCACTCCTAATGCTGAGCTCACCCTCTCTCTCTCCAGGTCATCTCTCATCTGCTGATGTTCATGCTCTGTTAATTCCTGGTCCCCATCCTGGTCATATTTGGTAAATATTGCTTCAATCTCTGCATCTGTGTGCCCTTTCCTGAAAAAGCAGCAACAACACTTCCCTTACTTTCAATGTTTCAGATGCTGAAGGAACTTCAATATATGAGAAAAAACACTTCACCCCAAACAGACTTTCACCTCCAAGCCAAAGACAGGACTGATTCCAGTGCTGCCTATAAACTCACATTTAACATCTGGATAACAACAGGCTCAGCCCTCACTTCTCCTTAGCTGATAGCACAAGTCTCCCCTAGGCTGCACCCTGCTCCTTCACAATCACCCCTTTTATACCCCCTTGATTTGTTCCCTGTCCTTGGACTCCTGCCTGTTCACAGATTCTGCAGTGGCTCTGACAGAAACACTACTGGTTCCTCAAAGGTCTCAGATCTTTGCTTCCTCAGAACCTTTCTGCCCCCCAACACAGCAACTCTAGGCTGGGCCCCAGAGCACCAGAGTCTTCCTCTGAGGGGTGCCACCCCACTGCAGCAACTCCAGCCACAGCAACTCCAGGAGCCAGAGCTCAGCCCATCTCCTCAGTTACCATTTCTCTTCCACCTCCAACTGACTCTTCTCCCACTCCTCTCTTCTTCTGCAGCTCCATGCCACAGTTTAACTGCTCCTTTGTACAGTGCCTGCAGACCCACACCAAAGTGTTCACCTGTACACACTGTCTGTTGGCACAGTCCTCCCACCAGGCACAGGAAAAGTACATCCTTTGTGACCCACCAACAAAGACAAAAGCACTCTTGCCCACCACTGAAGTGAGAGAAGCTCACATCAGAGACTTAACCTCACATTCTCTGGGGGTGCTGTTCAAGACAAGCAGTAACAGCTCCCCTACCCCTTTAGGTCTTGCCGGAGTTCATCAAAATTCAGTTTTCCTCCACCTTGTCTCAGACTCTCTGAAATGTCATCAACAGCAGTTTTCTTCAGTTTAAGTTTGATCATGGCTTTGTTGTAGCCCTAGAAGAAAAAGTGAAATTTTGTGGTTTACTTTCCATGAAACGTTAACGTTTGATTTCTAATAACACTTAATTACAGAAGAAATCCTCTAGTGAGCATACACTGTCAGTCAGTGTTCCAAAAGCCCTGCAAGAATCTGTCTTTTCCTCCACTTTGTTCATCTTTTATTTCTTCTTTTATATGGGCCACACACAAACACCTTCCCAGTCAGAGGTAAGGCTTTTTGCCTGCACTGCAGGCCAGGAGGCACGGAGCCCTTTGCCCTGCTGAGACACCTTTGGCAGCTACTGGCAGTTAAGTGACAGCTTTAAATAATGCTTGCAAAACAGGTACAACTTTCTGTGGTCATTTTGCTTCTCTCTTGTTCTTCAGTTGTAGGAATGACTTTTTAAAGAAGTCCTCATCCCAACGAAGCAGCACTTTTACATTTTCTCTGCTCTGTTTTAATACCCAGTTTCTGTTTAAACCTTCCTGACCATGGTCCAGCACCACATCCACACCAGAGTGCAGGTACATGTACATGTTATTCCTAAACCCAGATTCAGCTCCTAACTTTGTATTCAGCAACCTCACTAGCAGCTGCCCCGGGAGCTCCCAACACAGTATCCAAGACTTGCCTCACCTTGCTGTCTGCAACGATGCAATCCTGAGTTCTGTGACCAAACCAAAGGGCAGTTCAGCTTCATCAGCTCAGTGTATCTGTATGTACCCACACAGACCAATCCTCTGGCATGTTCAGTAGGCTGATCAATCAATGCAAAGCCTCGGATGACTAAAATACCTCGTGATGGAAAGCTTTCATTCTCTTAATTTGCATTCAGCTCAGATTAATTTAACTAAGGGATCTGTATTTTCATCAGCCACTGCCAGCTTTACTTTGTACAGCTTATATAGAATCTTATGGAGTAAATTCAGGTGTGATGAATGAGAAGTCAGACAGAACATTACTTTTACCTTTCTGATAAGGTCAGACAGTTCCATTTCTGCCTTCTGTTGTGCCATATCTGTTTTGACTTCCGAGTATGTATCATTGATAATGGCCAAAAACATGTTCTGTCCAAGAGAGAAATGAAGAAGCCCACTTGAAATTTCAACACATCTGAGCATTTACTGTTCCTGTGACTTTCATGTGCAGACCTACATGTCAGTTCTTTAAAAAGGGCCGAGAGAAAACGTCGGGCTGTCTAAAAAGCACCAACATCAAGAGCTTGAGACACTGAAATATGATGCATGACAGTATAACAACCTTTAATCAAGACTACTGGTTAACAACACAACTGGAGAGTTACCTTCCAGAGAGGGTTCATGCCCACACACAGCAGTGGCAAGAATCCCTGCCTGCTTCTGTGTCTAAGTTGGGCCTTCTGCCTGCAAGGCCAAACTCACACAGGTAACAACTGTGAATTTATCTAGGCAGCAGGGCTGACAACAAAAACACCTGAGGAATCAAGTTAGCTATTCATCCCATAATAACCAGCACAAACACAAGGTTCCTATCTACTTACAGCTCTGCTGTAACTAGAAAAAAAAAAACAACAAAGCTTAAAATCAGACACGTGGCATGTATGTCAGCAGCTCTGAGAAGAGCAGTTGCTCGTTCAGACAGGAGAGGACAAACCCTGGTGCCACTAACCCTGTGCCCACCACGCCTCTGAGCCACGCTGTCCTCACTGAGGGGTCCTGCCCAACGTGGGGGACACAGGACTCAGCTGCAAGCTGGTCATCCCAGTTTAGAAACCATGCCACCACTTACTGGCACGTTCACAGCAGCACTCACAGGCAGAAAGGCAGTGGTGACTTTTAGTTCCTCATGGACTTAAATGCTTCAGGAGAACAGTCTTTCCATGCTGTGCCCATGCACTCTTGCCCAGCACCAGAGACGAGGCAGCCTGGCTCCTGCCTATCTTCCCTTCAGCTGCCCAGTGTCAAGAGCTGATGCTTTCTGCTCACCTTCCCTGGCTTAGTTTCCAGGTCTCAGACTGGCCTCAAGGAGCTTACAGCAACATTTCAGCCCAGCCAAATGACAGGATGTGTACATACTAATAAGCACACAGATTATAGTGAGTATTTTGGATACCTGCTGTTCCTTCACACTTCAGTGCTTTCCTGCTACCCCTTCAAAAAAATTATTTCTCTCCCTTACTGGGCACTAACATCTCCTCTGGATTTTGTGAGGTGCTTCAGAGCAAATATGAAACCTGCTCCCTGTGCCTCCTGGGCCAGAGTGACCCACACATTATTTTCTGATTTACTCAGGGAGGTCCACCTCACTGAACCCTTACAACTTCCCACAGCCTTAGTGAACAGCTACGATGAAGTCTTCTCCCACAAATAGTATCCAAACAGCATTTCACCTCAGGCCAAAGAATAATAAAAAGCCTCATTAAGTACAATGGTCATTAAACAACTCTAGAATTTATGATGATACTGGATGGCTATAAAAATCCTGCTTTAATGTTTGCCACCTTACCAAACCACCAAAAGACACACAGTTTGGGAAACAATCTGGGCATTTCTTGCTCATGTAACTGCTTCCATCTGATGCTATCAGAAACAAAATTACTACACGTTAATGTTAGTACCAAACTAACTGAACATTACATCCAGGTAGAAGATACTGGGGCTCTTCACTTTTACCAACATTAAAAAAAATCATTTACTTGGTCTCCTAGGTTCCTAAGAGGGGGGTCTCCTCCCTCCACTTTGTTATATAAATGATCAGTAAGACTATAACATGGATTCAATAGTAGTTCTAACAGGGAGTATACAAAAAATGAGTACTCCCTTGCAATATACTCACTGTTTAAATTGATTTGTCCATCATGTACATACTGACTCCCAGACAAGTTTGGCTTCTTAGAACACTTGCTGCCAACAAGTGCACAAGTGACCTGCAGTGGGACAGCAAGGAGACAGAGCCCAGCCCTGCCCTGGAGAAGCCCAAGCTGGCCAGAAAAGGCCTCTGCAGCCAAGGCTGCACATCTGGGAGCTGCTGCACTGCTGGTGAAGGAGGCTCTGCAGCAGAGGAGCAGTGCTGCAGCTATGAATGAGGCTGCTGTACACACAGCCAGCCACAAACTGCACACTCTGTAATCTAAGAGCCTGCAGGGAACAGTACAGCTACTTTTCACCACACAGTAATGGGCTGGCTGTGTATGTCAACCAAGCACTCTTCAGATTTTACAAATAAATTCTCCTTCATAATAAAATAAATAAATTAAAACCCCACAAAGTGGAGCACTATATGGCAATGACAACAAACACCAAATGCAAAGCTAGTGCAATGAAAGAAAAGCCACCCTGCAGTGACCAGCCAGCTAACAGGCAGGGCCTGCAGACTGCACACTGCCCACGGCCAAGAAAGGCCCCAGGCAGCAGTGGGGGGCAAAGGACAAGGGATGCAAAAGATGCCACCTACCCACCCCCCCCGAACAAAGGCGTACATACCAAAAGAATGAAGAACATAAAGAACACAAATGTAGTGAAATAAACGGGTCCCAAAATCCGATTGGCCTCTTCAACCTCTGTGAAGTTGAAGTCTCCCAAAATGATGCGGAACTGAGTAAATCTTAAAAAACAAAACACATCCCGGGGTTGAAAACACTTAGGGAGCTGTGCAAGAATTCTCAAACTGTTTACCCTGCTGAGGGACACAGAGAGGCCTGTCCTGCAGGAACACCCCCTCAGGCACTGCAACAGCAAATCCCTCAAGCCCATCTCTAGGCACAGCCACAGCTGCAGTTGGATGCCACGCAGAGAACTGGGGTGGCCACCTCTGGCTTTTGGTCATGACTGACAAGGGGGGTGACAGGAAGCAGAGCAAACCAATGGCCACCACTGGGAGACCCCCTGCAGTCCCTCTCCTGTGTGTTCTGCCTCTCCCACACAAACCCCAACCCTCTCCCCCAGAGCTGTCCCTGCAGAGCTGAGGCTGGCAGAGGCTTGGCACTCTTCAGCACCACCAGCATGTTTCATGTTCCTCTGCTTCTCTGCAACTTTCTGCACCACTGCCCCAGTGTAAGGTGCAGGGGGAAACTGAAAACTGAACTGGACGTGGCAGTTCCCTAAGTTAGAATCAGGTTGTGCTGTCCCAAATCAATAAAGTAAAAACTGATTAACAAACCCATATTAACACCTATCTTTCGCCTGGACTCCAGCAGATACTTACAAATTTACTAGGTGGCTGTCTAAGACGGGCTCCATTTGTGAGTCAACCCCCACCACACACTATCAGGAACACAACACTGCAATGCTTACTGGGATGCTGTATGCATGATAAACACAGGTAAGCATACAACCCTTCAGTTGCTGAAGACAGCTATTGCTTTGTCCAGGATATGACCAACTGTTACAAAAACCATGTCACAACTCCCAACCAAAACCTGACATTTTTAGCTCACTGATTTAACTGCTCTGTATTTTTAATCTCACAGCAGAGACAGTTTTTGAACTAAAAATGGTATTAAAAAAATGCATTCACTACTGAACTACATCAACAGCAATATGTCTGCAGCTTGTCTGTTTAGGTGGATGTCATAAGATCTGTTTGGTCTTTGATGGGGCAACCAAATCCATTTACCATGTAGTGAGAAATTCTTTGTATTTTTTATTCTGGTACTTACATGCAATCCTGGAAAGTGCTGAAGTCATCGATTTGAGTGCCAAAGACAAGATAGGCCAACTGAGCATATGCTAAGAAAATAATAAAAAACATAATAGCAAAGCCAATGACATCTTTGACACAGCGAGACATGGTAGTGGATAACTGACTCATTGTTCTGTTGAAGTTCACAAATTTGAACAGCTGTTAAAAGAAAGAAAACACAACTGTAAAGACAAGGAAGACAATTTCTTTACAAAACTGCTCTCCAGCCTTTTACACAGGAGATGCCTTACTGAACTTGACTAGAGACAAAGCTAGTTTAATGACATTTAGAAATACATCACTTCCTGAGATCACTGAGGCTTGAAAGGTGAAGCAAATTCTGTAACAACACCCTGGTTTTGTTTGGGTGTGGGGTTTTGCTTGTTTGTTTTCTCACTCCTCTGTTTGGCACCCTGACTTCAGAGCAGTGGTACTGAAATGCTTCCAAAAGCCCATTTATCTTTCTCCTCAGTGAAGATGTCAGCTATGAAGCAGTAAAATACAAGAAAAGAAGATCTCAGAGCAGACTTTGCTCTGAGCAAGCTGGCTGGACTAGAGACTTGCTGAGGTTCCCTCCAGCCTGCATTACTCTGTTACTCTGCAGTTTACCATTATTTCTTATAAGGAGCCACTTTACTTTTTAAAACATGATGCAATAATGAGACAACTCTGTGTTAGAAGACAGCAGATTATCTAACTTGATTCATAAACCTAAATACTAGTCTGGCATATCAGCAGAAATTCACTTCTCATTGGTCTTACATTTCCCCCACTAGACAATGTGGTAACTACATGCTTCTCTGCAACTTTGTGCATACAGAGGTCAGGAAAATTAGTATAGACATATAAGGAAATACCACTAGAAAGGAGGCTGTAAAACAGAGAAATTATGTTCAACTAAAGGAATATATCTAGTTTGGCTGCTCCTCTGCAACTTTATACTAATTTTCCTGACCTCTGTATGCACAGACATAAAAGGAAATACCACTAGAAAGGAGGCTGTAAAACAGAGAAATTATATTCAACTAAAGGAATATATCTAGTTTGGAACTAATTGGACTAGCCTTACCAGCCCTTCCAGCAATCCAAAAGCTTTAAACAGATCCAACACACACAATTAAACCAGGCTAGGAAAAAGCTGCACCCAGTAAGAGACACAAACTTATCAGTTCAGGAATAATAAAAACATTTCTTTAAGTTTCTGCTGTGACAAAGCACTAGCACTGACATCTTCTAGCCCTAAACAAGGGCTGACTAAACCTGAGGCAAATTACAAACTTGTTTTTCATCTCCAAGAAGGTCCCTCTGTGCTCTCTCTCGTGTGACCAATTTTACAAGAAACACAAGTAAACCTCAACTAACATATGACATGAAACTCAGAATACTGCTTACATTCTAATATTGGAATAAGGATGTGTGTCTTGGAGTTACCTTAATCCAGACAAAAAATACAGTGACTGCAGCAACGTTGTTGAATTGCATTTGCCAATATGCCAAAGGTTCAAAATTAGGGAATGAGTTCTGATCTTCCAGCAGCTTCTTCAGGAGCATATCAACAGTTGATGTCCTATAGATGCTAATTCCTATAGCTACTACAGAGAGCTACAAAAGAAATTTACAAAAGGTCATCAGGGTTTTAAACCACCTTGTTTTAGCCACATGTGTCAGATAAAGTTAAGATACCATAGAATGCCTTGGGTTGGAAGGGACCTTTAAAAGTCATCTTGTCCCACCTCCCTGCAGCAATCAGGGACAGCCCAGATTAGATCAGGTTGCTCAGAGCCCCATCAAGCCTGACCCTGAATGTCTCCAGGGATGGACCTGCACCACCCCTCTGGGCAGCCTGTGCCAGTGTGTGCTTTACTCTCATAGTAAAGAACTTCTTCCTAATGTCTAATCTAAATCTCCCCTGACCTACTATAAAAGTATGATTTCCCTAGATTATATATAGTAATTTCAAGACTTAAACCTTTGATTCATACAAGCCTGAAGATATAAAACAAACATGGGACTGGAACTGTTTCAGCACTGCTGGCTTTGGATAACTTTGATAAGCACAGCTTGATGTAAGTCCAGAGAGAATTGTATTATGTAGCTTTAAACTGAAAGCTCAGATCTTCTGCTATACCAGGACTGCAGATGTGCTACCCTGTCCATTTAAGCAAGACAGCAGCCCTAACAGCTCCTAGCAACCTACCATTTTGGAGACACTTCTTCAAACTAAATGCAAATGACTGCTTTAGAGCAGGTAACATCCTTACTCAAAAGCCTCCAACAGTCTGCATCAGACACAGAGAAGAGCAATGAGGGTGACTTTGTTACCTCCCATAATGCCATAAACAAAAACTGTGAGAAAGCACACTGGACAAATCCTCTAGCTTTTCACCAGGATGTGAAGGTTGAAACCACTGAAGACAGAACAAGCAAATTTGCAAAACCAACACCAGCACTACAGCACAGACTAAAATTGTCTTAGACTGAATAGCAGAGTAGTCTCTAAGTCTCCCTCCTGCTGATGGCCCTGCCCCTAACCCCCAGCAGCAATACTGAGTCATTAACATCTCCCACAAAGTGCATTCCAGAAAGTGACTTTAGCCTTATTATAAAGATTACTTACCACAATAATAAGGATATCAAGGCAATTCCAGAGGCTTCTGAAGTAGTGCAGTCCATGAATGTGAATTTCTAAGATCTCTTCCACCATATAGTAAAGAACAAAAAGACAAAATGCCATTTCACAGGCTGCCAGGAAAAAGTCAAAAGTGGAGATGTAGTGAATCAGCCTCACTGGCTGAAACTGCCAAGAGGTAACAAGGCCTCCAGTTGCTGGAAACTCCACCACCAACCTGCATTTAAAAAAGGCAAAGAAAAAAAATCATTTACACAGTGCTGATGAAAAAAATACTGAAAAAAGACATGGGTTTATTTACATAATTATTTAAATAATGGAAACAGGCAAGAAGGCCACACGATTCAGAGAAGACACTACACAGAACAGAAGGTGCAAACCCAACGGCACAAAGTTTTGACCAACACCTAGAGCATTTCAGGGAGAGTGAGAAAGCAGAGACAGAAATACCTGTCTTCACCTGCATCTGTTTGGTGCCATCCAGACTAAAGACTGATACTGCAAAGTGCAGCCAAGCCCCTGTGGCAGCAGGGGAGCCAGAGCTGCCTCCAGGCAGTGAGTGCACTGCCCCTGGAACCTCCCCTCAGCTGTTTCAGATAAAGGAGCTGACACATCTTACCTATGGCCTCAGAACAAAGCAACCACAAGAAAATCCCAGCTCTGCAACCCACCCTGTGCAGTCTGAACACCATGGTGGTTCTGCTCATACCTGACAACGCAGAACACGTTGATGTTTGCATTGTACACGGAGAAATCAATGAAAGCTGCTCTGGTCCCTCTGTCCAGCCACAGGTTCTTCTTAAGGGTAGCCACCTGCACAGCTGTCACTTCCCTGGTCCTTGAGAGGTCCTGGTAATAACCAGCCCCACTGTACGTGGCAATCAAGCCCCAGTGGCTGCTCCCATTCAAATCCTTCTCGTTGGTGTATGTCCAACTAGTTCAGAAGTAAGTGAAACAGAGCACGTTCATCTTTCTGCTTTCAGCTTTCAATTAACAAAACAGACACAAACAAAACCTGACCAAAAAATGTTACTTAAAGCTGCTTTCACTTAAGAGGTACTTGTAGAAAGCATTGATGTACCCTGGAGAAAGCTTGCAAAGGTCCTTTCACTAACACAACAAAATTAAGATAGAAGATGGCTCACAAGTATATTAGCTGTGAAGAGAGAACACAGCAACCCACTCACAGACAATTAACTGGCGTTTGCAGGGCTATGTTCTATCCCCAAAATCTTTTACATTCAACTTGCCCTTCACCCCCCAAAGACAAGCCAGTGAGAGCCAGGGCAGCAGCACAAGGTGGAGTGCAGAGCTGGTGCTGCTGAGCTGCAGTGCTGCCCCGGGAGCACAGCGTGTCTCCCGTGCCCAGCAGCTGCGGGGGCACCAGGACAGCACCCCAAGGGAGAGCACGGCCCTCCCCACCTCCGGGAAGGTTCCTGCACAAGAGCTGTCAGCTGCTCTGGATTTCCCTGGCCCAACACCCAGCACACGCACAGCTGCCTCGGCCAGGTAACTGGCTGCAGAATTTGGCATAAGCCAGGAGAGGATGGAACCAAAGCCAGAGGTGTGTAGAGAACAGGACGTACGCCGTGCCGTTGCGCAGCCCAAAGGGAGCAGTGTCCTCACTGGCCACGGAATAGACATCATAGCAGTCCTTGATCTCCTCCTTCAGGTCCTCGGGGACGGAGCAGGAGCCGTTCCTCACCCTCAGCTGCCGCACGCGGGGCACCCCCAGCAGCAGGTTCTCGTAGTAAATGAAGCTTTTGTTTTCTGCCCTGGTTCTGTTGTTGTACCACATCTCCCAGTACAGACCATCCAGCAAAGGGCCTTCTGTGAACTGGGGAACGAGACAGAGTTTTAGCTGACATGCTGCCAGCACTGCTCTTACAGATCTTAATTTGGTGGCTGTTTTAGAAGGGCAGCTGATGGTTTTTCTGACGTAAGGCTTAACTGCCACCTGTCCAAAGACACCCCACAGCCATGCCCCACCCTGCCCCTAACACTACCTGGGTTCTACACTTTCACATACTAAAGGCCTGCTCAGTTCCACAGCTTTGCCACTGTGCACACAGACCTTCATGCACAACCCCTGCTGCCTTAGAAAAACAAATTCACAGGTTAAATTTACAGGACAAGCAAAGTACAGCAACAGAGAGAAGAGAGGCTGGGTTTAGATTACCTTCCAGAAGTCATCCATTGTGGACAAGGTTTTGAAATCCGTTTTCTCCATTTTTGATACAGGTGTTTCCAGGAAGAGCTGTGACATGACCCTTGTGTAATAGTACATGCTGGAACTCACTGTGCCATAAGTCACTGCAAAAGATTTGGTAAGGAGTGAGAGGTGAAGTGGTGGGCAGAAGAGAAGACAAAAAAAGAAAGGAAAGGAAAAAAAGAGCACTTTGCTTGTTTTGAATACATCAGGTTGTAATTTTATAGATTTTGCACTGAAGAGTTTAAGCTTCAGAACACAACAAGCAGCACTTCTCTGTGAGCTGTGATTGAAACACAAAAAGCTGTGAAGAACAGACTGATCAGTCAGTTTAAATTATCCAGTTCTCCTCCCATACCTCACTGCATTATCAGTGCTCCTACAGGAGCTAACTTCAGCCTGGAGAGAGGCAGCTAGTGCCACCTCAGGTCACTGGTGCCACCCAAGGCACCCACAGAGAGCTGGCACCAGACCCCAGAGCGATGCCCTGCTCGAGCAGATGCTGACCACCAACCAGGGCAGGGCAGGGGGAATGTCACTACCCCCTACGTTAGACAATGAAACTCCACTCAAGGCACTTGCCTATAAACACTTCAAACCATCTTATGCCTAAAACTCAGAGAAGCCTGAAAGATGAAGTCTACACTGAACAATCTCCATCAGTTGTGACACATCTATAAAAATACTTTACCACAAAGAAGGGAACGTTTCTTTAGCAACCAGAGAACAAAAGCCATTTTTAAGCCTTCTGCTGTGGCACCCTGAATGTATCACACGAGTGTCCAGTGCCTGGACTCTCTCTAGAGTACGAGCCCATGGCACTCAGCCTGCACTGGACAGCTCTCTCCTGGGACATGCCAAGCCACAGACCAGCCTGTCCCACAGCTATTCCTTAGGTGTAAAATTAAAAAGGATAGCACTTAAAAAAAAATAAATACTAGTCAGTTAGAAGTATCTGTAGATGTCCAATGCACTATACTTTTCCTTTATTCTGTTACCAAAAAACCTTTTTCTACAGCAAAACAATTTGTTAACAGCCTGCAGCCAAACCTTTCCCACTGAACCCCATTCCAGTTTAATTCAGGTGCCTCACTGCTGCAGCTCTCCTCCCAGTACAGCACACCAACCACAGGCAACTTCCACTACCTTGTCCATAAACCTGCACTAAGCATTCTTAAAGGACTTAGGAAGTAAAAAACCATATTTAGCATATAACCATGCTTGCAGTTGTCTCAGCAGCATGTTTGGGTTTGGTTTTTTAGTAATTCTACTCCAGACACGCATGGCAGACTTCTCCTCAGAGCCTGTTTACCAATGTATTTTTGCATTTTCTTCTCCACTCCATGTTTCTCACAAAAAAATAAAGGCGTCACCTTGTTCTGTTACAACTGATCATAAACAACAACTTAAGTGTCACTGATATTTCAAACAGAACTGTATTGAAAACAGAACTGTCCACACTAAAAACTGGAGGCCTGAAACATACTGACTTTCCAAAGTAACTTAATGCACACAGATTTTCTTGGTGTTCTCCCTAATAACCAAATAAAATATCTGTTTCACAGCTCCATAGTAAGTTCTATTTTGCACTGGTTTGCTACTTTTATGCACGTATATGAACATGCCTTGTTTTGCCTATCAACTTAAAAACCCCTAGAAATCTTGAAACAGGATTGTATAAGGGCTTGAAGTTCCCAAGGCCAGAAATGGCCTCTCTTGGAAACATCACATTATACCCCCAGCTGCTCACAGGGCTGTGTGAGGCCTGTGTCCAACACCCTGCACTATCTGTGCTCCAACTGTGCTCCAACACCACTCAGTTTCCTCACCCTGAAGAAGGAACAGCACATCAGTCCAGGCTGCTTGCTCAGCCTCTGCTTAGGTCCAGGAATACTGTGTATGAGGATGGAGATCCACCAAGCTCCTCACTTCTGCACTAAGTTTGTACTGAACAGAATATTATTCTTATGAATATTATCTTCAGTGTTGATTCTAGAGCACCTACCTCAAAGCAGTCACCTACTCAAAAGCCAGAAAAAAAAAGCAGGTTGAATGTTACTCTGTGCCATACTGTTAGGATACTCCATATGATTCATAGACAAATCATGGAAATCTCCAGTTGTGATCCATACAAACCTGAGTATATAGGCTCCAGATGCACTGAATGTGCCATAGTGTCAGGATACTCCATATGATTCACAGACAATAAAACAAATGACACACTCAAATCATGGAAATCTCCAGTTGTGATCCATACAAACCTGAGTATATAGGCTCCAGATGCACTGAAAACATCCAGCACCATGTAAACACAGATTATTAGATATTTCTAACTAACTAGCATTATCTCTGACTTTCCAGCTACTATCAAGAACTTTTACTCTTAGAATGATCTGAACACAAGCTTGGTGATAAATCTGAAACTTGATGATTTAATTTTTTGTCCTAGGTAACTCACTCCTACTCTTCACATGGAACAGTTCTGTTCAGTGACTTCAACACGTGCAGCAGAAGCATTCCACTACCAAGTGGTGCTATGTTAAACTATGCTCCCTAAACCCAAGGAATATTATCATCTATCTCCTTGAAGTCTCAAAACTTACTAAGGCCCAGAAAGTTCCAGTATTTCCAGTCTCAGGCAACAATCTATGCACCCCCTGTGAGGACAGGCTGAGAGAGCTGGGGTTGCTCAGCATGCAGAAGAGAAGGTGCCAGGGAGACCCTACAGCTGCCTTCCAGCACTCCCAGTGGGCCTGCAGTGAGGATGGGGAAGGACTCCTGATCAGGAAGTGGAGTGACAGGATGAGGGGTTAATGGCTTTAAACTGAAAGGGGGTACCTTTTATTAGGTATTAGCAAGAAATTCTCTGCTGTGAGGGTGGTGAGACAGGAACAGGTTGCCCCTAGAAGCTGTGGATGCCCCCTCCCTGGAAGAATTCAAGGCTGGGCTGGATGCAGCTTTGAGCAACCTGGCCTAACAGAAAGTGTCCATGCCCATGGGTGCTGCAACAAGATGACCTCAACGGTCCCTTCCAAACCAGACCATCCTATGAATCCTTGTGCAGAAACAAGAGAAAGATTTCCTTCCAACTATCTGCCTACAGACCTGCTCATCAATCCTTACGCCACGTCACTGAAACCACCTTCACTCTGGAATCAGCTGACAAGCAGGGGGGACAGAGCTGGGCAGTACTTACAGACACACAGGACCACCAGGAAAACGAGGTATGTGACCAGCTCTCGTAGAACACTCCTCAGGTACCTCTCCCTGCTGGTGTTGCTCTCTTCCATCAGTCTTGTCCCCCACAGACCTTCAAAGGGAAACACAGATAATGATGTACACAGACATCTGATACCAGATACACAAATGACACAACGAGTGGGTTTGAGAGCTTGACCTATCTCATGTCTGCTGCAGGCTCTTCTGGGGATTTTAAACTGATGTAAGTTCAGGAAAGAACAACTCCTACAGGCTGAATGATGGTCAGGGCAGCATTAGCTATTCATGAGATAGCATAATAACTCAGGAACAGCTCAGCAGAACTCTGAATCTGCTGAGGATTTCCCAGAAGTGCTGTCACTTCAAACTACAGGACATGAAAGAGGTCCCAGTACACACATGGACACCCTGCAGGAAATGAATGGCAGAGTTTTGGTTTTCTTTAAAATACAAAAAGCGTCGTCAGACAAATGAAAATCCAGGTTCAGCATCAAACCTTTATTAGGAGTCTTAATTAACTTTCTACCTGGAAGTGGGATACAGCAGTCAAACATATTGTTAGAGAAAACAGATCCTAACCTTTCCCTCTCCCACAGGCAGGGCATGTCCAACAGAGAGCAGGGGCCTCAGGCAGCATTCCCACGTGGTTTCCTTACCTGCACCACGAAGAACTATCACTGAAACCTCTGCAGTGGCCTCAGTGAGCAATCCCTGTCCACGTACCAAACTGGGCCCCACATGAGCTGAACTAATTCTGCCTGTTCCTAGCTTCATACTACAGAACCATAGAGTTACTAAGGTTGGAAAAGATCTCTAAGATTACCAAGTCCAACCATTGCCCAACATTACCATGACCACTAAACCGTGCCCCCAAGTGCCACACCTACTCTTTTTTTGAACCCCTCCAGGGATGGTGACTCCATCACTTCCCTGGGCAGCCCCTTCCAGTGCCTGACCACTCTCTCAGGGAAGAAATTCTGCCTAATAGCAAAACTAAACCTTGCCTGGCACAACCTGAGCCCATTTCTTGACATCCTCAAGAAGACAGTGTAAGAGAAGATATTGAAATTTGGTGATTGCTTCCAAAAGGGTAACAGAAAAGCAAAAGATCTTATAAATGGAGTCTCTGAAAGAAACAACTATCTGAGAACTGAGAGCAGAAAGCACCACACTTATTTCCTGTGCCTAACAGAGAACAGGAATAAAAGCTGGGAACAGCTGCTGATGCTCAGACTAGAACTGCTGCCTTCCAGGAACTTTTCTTCATTGAAGCCTAAATAAAGCAAGGTGATTTGACCTTATTTTATAGTGGGGAAGAAAGTGTATAAAACAAAAATTGACTCTTACAGAAGCACACCAAACTCTCACCCTTTTCAGGTACTGAACAGGCAACCTTTTAAAACATGCTTCACATTCTCAGTAGATGGAAGTGGAGTAACCTCAAACTCCCTAGGAAAAAATCCTGGATCCATCAAACACAGCACAATAATTTGAAGTCAAATGGGACAGCAACAAGGGATTAGCCAAAACATGTTATAAACATGGCAGTGAAGCTGCTTTGCAGCAACCACTGTAAAACTCAAAAAAAGAGACAAAGGGCTCATCTGCCTGCTGCAGAACTTCATCTGCTACCAAAGAGAAGGAAGTAAGGAAGCTCTTCCCTCCATGTGTGTATGAGATGCATTCAGGAAAACAAAATGTTCTGTGTGTTTAGATGCCTTTAAGGTACCACATTTTTAACCTGTGACATAACCACCAAATCAACCAGTGAAATTCTCCTGCATAGGCAGAGCAAGCACTAAAGGGCCTAGCACTAACCTCTGCTCACACTCCTCAATTAGTAACTTATAACCTTCACTAGAGCCAGCCCCAAAACAAGAGAGCTTTTTCAAGCTATTCTTTAAATCTAAGTCTGACAACTTCCAGACAAAGACTGCAGCTTTACTACACAGGCTGCCAAGCTCTCACCATTAGGTCATTCTTGAAGACAGACACACAAAACCAAAAGCATTTTACAGAGTCACTAATAAAAAATAACTCAACAAACTCAGCCTCTAACACAGCACTACGTTGCACTAGCAACCCTCATAATAAGGCAGGAAAACATTACAGAAGAGGAGGAAAAGGCTGGAACAGCCAGTGAGCTCAGCTGGCAAGAGAACCGAGTCCTGGCTGTCAGCACATTACTCACCAGTAAGAAATGTGGTGAGCAGAAAACCTGCAAGCTCCAATTCTGTCATACTAGAACACTGTTAGGAGTCAGTCAGCAAGGAACAGAAAGTTACATGTGGAGAAAAAAAAAAACCAAAGCAAAATCCCAAACCAGCACCAGAGATCACACAAAGACCTTCCAGTTAAAGGAGCTCCAGAGGAGCCCATCAGCTGGCTCGAAGCTTTCACCAGATGCCCTGGTTTCAGAAGACAGATACATTATTCCCCTTTCTGCCTTCTTATAATATTAGTTTAGCTACATCAAGAACAGGGGTGGCAAGCTGTGGTGGGTTTCAGCTGACATCTACGAGCACCAAACCATTTCATTTCTAGCCCTGATTAATCACTTTCAGTTTTTTCCTTATATAAACTTGCTATTCATCAACTTTTTGACAGAATCTATGTACACTGTCATTTATCACACAAATCTGCAACTAACAACTCTCTCACACTCATTCTGTAGCCCAGAAGGGTTACCCAAACTGTACATGGACTTAGGAGAGTTGTCAAAAAATAATGATCGTATGCAAATAAATAGAAATAGACTCAACTTCATCCTACAGTACAAGGTCTGGCTTGTTAGGTAAGCCAGGGAAGTAAAATCTTTCTGAAGTGCACAGGCTGGGGAAGGAGTGGGGCTGGGGGAGGGACAGGAAAGTGACTCAGGCAACGATGCTCTGTCCCAGACTAACAGCAGAACAGCCTCACAGTCCAGAGTTCCCACTCCTTAGGAAGGCACAGCTGGGGCCTGCGCCAGCTCAGCTCAGTAAAGATGCCAGGATGCATCCTTCACAACAGTAACAATTAGTTACAAACAATTAGACAAAACTTTTGATGGCTTTGTCCTGAATAGAGATGAGCAGTCATCCCCTCCTCTCCCCTCAGCACCTGGCATGTCTGCTGAAGAGATCTGCAAAACTAGATGGATTAAAGCTGCCTCTCAGAGAAGTAGAACCTGGAAAGAATCCACAAAGAACCTAAGATAAAGCCACAGTCTCAAATAGCTATTTCTATAAGTAGAATATCTAATAAGTAGTTCCTATTCACTTAGCATCCCCTCTTACAGCCTCCTCGACAGCTGCAATGACCAATGCCCCTTCACCTCAAATCCTGCCTGGATTTTTACCTCACAGCTAAGAAGGGAAGTGTAAGCTGTCATCCAGTGCCTCTCCAAGTGCCCAGATGCTTGGCCCTGGCAACACTTTCACTGTTGATATCCAAAGGATTAACCTCCCTTGCTGAATTCTGTCTAGTGAAATGGAATTTCATGAAATCAATTTATGCTACTTTTCCTCTGGTTATGCTGAAATAAACCCAAGTGCTGTGTTTGCCAGTTCCCAGTCTTCAAAGATCCTCATGGCTACCCACAGGACATCAAACAAACCACTGCTTGCTCCTTCCAGTACTGAAACCAGTTATCCTGCAAGTGCTCTGTACTGATGTCAGGCTTGATATCAGCCCCTTGGCAGGTGAGCTACCTGCACAGCAGGCAGGTACAGCACTGTGCAGTACCCTGCACTGGGATTGTGTGGTGGGGATTTGGTTCCTAGGGAGGGGCTCCAGGGGTGGCTGCTGTGAAAAGCTGCTAGGAGCTTCCCCAGCTCCCAGTCAGCCCCACCTCTGGCCAAGGCTGAGCCTCTGACAGAGGCAGTGCCCCTCTGTTAACCTAGCAAGGAGGGGACGACGAAAAATAAAACCAAAACAAACTGTGGGAACACCTGCAGTGGGGAGAGAAGGGGGCTGTGAAACAAGGGTGCAGCCAGCCAGGCCAGTGGAGAGCAGGGAGGAGCACCAGAGCAGAGGCTGCCCTGGGTACACAGCCCAGGGCTGCACAGCCCCCGAGGACCCCACAGCAGGGCAGGGGGCTGCACCTGAAGAGGGCTGCGACTGCAGGAGTCCACACTAGAGCAGGCTGTGAGGAATTCCAGCCCGTGGGAAGGACTCACGCTGGAGAAGTTCACAGGGACTGTCTCCTGGAGCAGGGACCCCTCGCTGGCCTAAGGGAAGGGTGTGAGGGGTCCTCCCTCTGAAGAGGAAGGAGTGGCAGAAACAACTTGTAGTGCACTGACTCCCACTCCTGCTCCCTGTGCTACGGGCAGGGAGGAGGCAGAGAGACTGGGAGCAAAGCTGGGAGTGGAAGAGGAGGGCTGGGGAGAAGGTGTTCTTAAGATTTGGTTTTATTTCCCATTACCCTGCTCTGATTTGACTGGTAACAGCATGAATTGACTTCCCCACCCCAAGTCAAGTCTGCTTTGCCCATGGCCATAACAGACAAAGAATCAGTCCCTGTCCTTGTCTCCACCACAAGCCTTCACTGTATTTTCTCATCCCCATGCCACTCAGGAAGGAGTGAGGGAGCAGCTGCAGTGCTCTGCTGCCAGCTGGGCAGACACCTCGTGTTGGGCCTGGCCGAGCTGATTTCCCACTGCAGCCTCCTGGTGCAGGGCTCCTGTGTTGGGAGTCAGGCGGGCGCTGATAACCCCCGTGTTGGCACTGAGCAGTGCTCGCAGCTAAAAACCAGAAGGTTTTACAGCTAAAACCAGAATACTACTAGTGCAGACTGATTGTCTTGAGCAACAAGAGGCAGCTTGGTCCACGGCCATCACTGAAAATATTTCTCTTCATTTTCTCAGGCCGTAAGAACATGTAACTCTGCCCAGCTGCACACCTATCAATACAGCACATCAGGACTTGACTGCACACCCAACAGCCTCACAGCCAGCAGAGCAAACAGCATCACACCAGGCAGAAGGATCTGCAAAGTCACGTCAGAGGAGGTCCTCACCCTTCAGCCTGAGAGCAGAAACTAGAAGTTCAAGCTACAGCTGCTCGTCAGCTCCCACACTGGTTACCCCAGCCCCAGACACGTTGCTT